GTCCTAAGATCTACTGTGGTTATTCTCCCAGGAAGAAACAACTGTAAGACAGAGATACATACTATTTTAGACTATTACTCAAGACAGACTACAACCAGCTATGGAGAACCTGCTTCCTGATAAACATTATGCAAGTCACTGAAAAGGATCCTGGGAAGTATTCCCATGCCTGGTGATTCTTAGAAATCAAGTTTTGGAGACTCTGTCTTGGTTCCATTGTATCAAGCACTGGAATCACTTGAGTTTAATTTAATTACTGTGATCTAGCTATAGATGCATGATCTTTTATTCAAAATATTGAGGGCTGGATATGTTTTGAAAATCATAAATATTAGGATTTTAGAATGTAATAAGGTACACATGCCATATATTATGTTTCTGTAGATTTGAGACAGAACCCTATGATCATAGATATGAATAATTCTAGTATGTATGAGTGTTTATAATAAATTATGTGTATATACTATACATATTTGTGTGTATACATACACACACACACATATATATTTATTATAAATACCCTTGTATGAACTCAGGTCAGTTTTAATGACAAGTGAATCATGAAGAAGAATTTGAACTTCATGTTTTTTTTAACTTTTCTGTATTGGAATAAGGGATTGTGGACATGTACTAGAAAAGACATCACACACCAATATATCAAGTGTCAAAGTATAATTATTATCTCATTTCTCTTACACACACACACACACACACACACACACACACACACACACGAAGATTACATGGCAGCATTTAAGAAATGCCAAATGAATTGTGCAATTAAAAATGCTTTATGAGATTTGCTTTGTTTATGTCACCCTATTCCTATTATGTTAATATGTGTGCGCAAGTTAGTTAGTAGTTTAAAACCTATACATACTTAAGGTACTCTACAAGAAGATATGTCAAAGAAATAATATCCTCCCATGGTTTCTTCCATATGCTACCTCTATAGCTTTTCTTCTTCCTTCCTAATTACAACCCTTAAATAGAATTCGTGCCTCATATCGAATTTACCGAGTATCATAATTCCTCCAGGTGGTAAAGATACCTCGAGACAAGTGCTGGACATAGAAGCCACAGGGCATAAATCTGCAAAGAAGTAAAAAGCTAACCTTTTCAAACAATATGGCTTCTCTCTCACTTACCAACTTTACATTTCCCTGTATGGCCCCAGAAGATGACTGGTTAGCCAGAGACGGGTAAGATTCCTCAAGGGAGGAACAACCTAAGACAGGCACAGTCGCAGGGGGGCCATCAGGTGAGAA